GGATTAGAAGTTGTCCTAGAACTAGGGGAAATAAGTTTGGATGTCATCGAAGACTCAAACCTGGTTATTTCTCAAGCCAACGGAAACTGAAAAGTCAAGGAAGAGAAAATGAAGATTTATCATCAGACCCTAGACATTCTAATTCCAAGGTTTGAAAAACTGACATTTACACATCTGCTGAAAAAGAACAACCAGTTTGCTGTTGCGCTGACAACTCTATCCTCTATGGTAGACACACCGCTCGGGGTAAGATGCGTCCAATCATCATTAAACAGAGGTATACGTCTACTTATGAGATGATAGCCGCAATAGATGAGGCTCAAGGCAAGAACCCCTGGTATCACAACATTTGGAACTTTCTAGAGAAGGATATGTATCCACCAGGGAAAAATGCCAAAGATAAACGGGAAATACGGTGTTTGGCTGTCCAGTTCATCATCTGTAAGAACGAGTTGTACAAGAGAGGCCATCTGGGAATGCACAAGCTTGCGTTGAAGAAGAAAGTCGAAGCGTCTCATGGAGGCCATTCATGGGGGAGAGTGTGGAGCACACATAAATGGTGTGATACTGTCTAGAAAAATCCTTAGGTAAGGCTATTATTGGTCAACTATGGAAAAGGATTGTATTAATTTTGTTCAGCGATGCCACAAATATCAAATCCATGCCAATTGCATGAATATCCCGCCCTCAAAGCTTTATAACATGACTAGGCCATGGCCTTTCTCAGTCTGGAGAATTGACGTCATTAGAGCAGTCTCACCAAAGGGCTCAAATGGACATGAGTTCATCTTGGTGGCGATCGACTATTTTACTAAATGGGTGGAAGCGCAGTCTTGCTCAGTGTTGAAAATGTCACATGTGGTCAAGTTTATCAGAAACAACATCATCTGCAGGTATGAGGTACTAAATGAGATCATCTTGGACAATGGCTGACACTTCAAGGAAGAGGTGATGGATCTGCTTGAGAAATACAACGTGGCTTTTCACAAGTCATCAACATACAGACCCCAGACCAATGGAGCTGTTGAGGCCGCAAACAAGAATGTCAAGAACATCATGTGAAAGATGGTGGAAACTTACAAAGATTGGCCAGATAAACTGTCTTTTGCACTTTAGGGATATAGAACGTCAATTCGAACATCTACAGGGGCCACCCCCTATTCTCTAGTACATGGGATGGAAGTAGTTTTGCCGATTAAGATCACAATATCATCGTTGAGAATCATGGCCGAGTGTCAAATAATAGAGGCGAATTGGCAGCAGAACAGATTCGAATAATTGGTGTTATTTGACGAGAGAAGGTTGAAGGCGTTGTATCATATCCAAGGATATTAGTGTAGGATAGCCAGGGACTTCAACAAAAAAGTTAAATCCAGAAACCTCAAAGAAGAAAACATGGTGCTCAAAGACAACCGAACTCCCAACCATGACCCTAGGGGCAAGTTCAGATCCAATTGGACTAGTCCTTACATCATCAAGTCTATTTGGTCAGAATGAGCGATTATCCTTATAGATTTAGATGGCTTAGAGTTCCCACAACCGATTAACATAAACAAGTTGAAGAAATACTACCGCTGAGAGGCTCGCTAGGCCGAAAATCCGAAAGGACGACCTAGGCAAAAGTTAGAGCATAAAAAATTACAAATAAAGAAAATAAAGCTCACAAGGTTAAAAACCCGAAAAGGGCGGCCTTGGCAAAAGTTAGAGCGCAAAATGAGAGTTAATACTTGAGTGAACCCAAACCAAACTATGTAAGGCCCGACTCTCATCTTTGGGATGCATAGGCAACTTCATCTCGAAGTTCGGCCATAAACCATCCCTAACTCAACTATCCTGTCCATTTGTTTGATTGGTCCATCTTTTTCCATCGTCTGTTAGCTTGGTTGTGTTACCTCCATTTGGCAGAAGGGCCAATTGCAAAATAGAGCAGTAATGGTGAATGTAGTTATGGGTAGTTATGATCTTTTGATTTGGGGTTGTACGTCTTGAGGATTGATTCCATGTGTGTCAGGCAGTGACCGTTTCTGAAAATTGTTTTTAAATGTTTTAATGAAGTTGATTTTCTCAAAATTTCATCTTTTGCAACATAGACCATTATTCGGACCAAAAAGGAAAATTTTCAGTGCTCACAACTTTAATTACATGGTTTCAACACACGTAATTCTCCAACTCTCAGGATTATATCAAAGTTGCTTTTACATCATAAAAACTTGAAAAGAAAAGTCAAAGTAATAAACTAGGGGCACAGATGAGTTAGGTGCTAGTCCTCTACCTCCTACCCACACGATCGGAAGTCTCTGTAGCCAAAGATGGCCCAACCTGTGCCTTGTCCTCAAGCCAAGCCAAGCCAAGCACTTGCCAGAAAAGGCATAATTGAAGCTAACAGCTAGGGCCATAAGCTTTCTCATTCTCCAAGCAGTGAGGTATCGAGCCAAGTGCGAAGCACGAACTGGAAATGAAGCAGAGTATTCAACCCCCTCATATGGACGAGTCTGATCACATCCAAACTAGCGTCTAAACCGAAACAGAAAATAGAAGACGCAATGTGTAAGGCCAATCAATTGTATACCCGGCTGGCGAGACATGTTGTAGCTTATCTCAGTCAGGTTAAGCCAGGGGCAACGCCAAGCAATGTCAGTTGCAGATCTGCTGCATATCCAGTCACACCACAGTCCTTTTGTAGGAAAGTCTACTAGCTGTGGGCGAAAGAAGAGGGATATGGCCAAATACTCGGGGTAAGGGTCCACCACTTTTAGTTCATCCATCAACCACACCTAGGTAGACATGAAAAATAAGAAAAATTAAAGAATAAAAAGATGTAGGTTGAGAGAAAAGTAAGGAAAGGGCTTTGAGAGAAAATAGAGAGTGAAGTCCAGAGTTATGTGAGAAATCATAAATGAGAAAGGGTGGGAAACAATACCTGAAGAAGCAGTGGACTCCCCGCAAACCGAGTAGTCTTTCATCGATGGAAGGCATCCAAACCTACCAAAGTCTCGGCCAATGCCAAACCTATGCAGCTCTTACCCTCCTTCAGGCATTGGGCCACTTCAATCAACCTAATGTTAGCTCCGCTGCAACTAGTGGCAAGTAGGAAGTGTACAAGTAAACATAAGCAGAGGGCATGCTGACGATAACCTTACCAGAGAAGATCACCTCTGTCTCCAATGACGGAAAACTGATGAATCAAGCTCGGTATATCTAACTCTCCGTCATGAGCCAAGAACCAAGCCTCATTTAAAGTAAGCCCACACATCCGTTCAAGGGCCCATGCATGGCCAAAAAGGGGTTGAGGCATAATCTCCTCATTACACTGGGACTCCATTAATGCTTGAAATTCTTTGAGAGTAGGACACATTTCTTGTGCTTCGAAGCGAAACACATGAGTGACTGGGTTCCAACATCGGGCAGCGGCATGAAGGAATAGAAAACAAAGCGAAGTATGACTCAACAGGAAAAGAGCGTTTATGCCGAAACTACAAAAATTTACCTTTTCCGTGCCATCCAAGGTGGCCATCCAATCCCTGAGTCTCTCGGCAAGAAATATCTCCATTTTCAAATAAAACTGCAGAAAAGATGGTATTCTGTCGAAGGAGGAGCAAGAGAAGACCTTTATAGGAGATAAGGTTCTGTCAGTGGCTGATAGTTGTTGCCGGCTGTCCAGCCGCATGCCATGGTCGGCCAGCCAACCTCACCAACCGACCGTCCATTCACTTGGACTTCCAAGCAAGAAAAGGAGGTGAGTGAAGTGTGTTAAACAGAATGAGTGATTCATGATAGAGATTCAAGTTTGTGTAGATTGAGAGGATGATGGAGATGAGATAGACAGAGCTTGTAGTGGGTATTGTTTTGATGATTTTGGCGTGAATTTGCTTGGCTTGGGATTTGGATGTGACAGAAGATGAGTTTTGGAGGGGTGTTTTGAGGAGAGTGTGAGTTGAACTCAATGGCATTGGCTTCTATGGAAAAGAATTGAAGTGTATGATTTGTTGAGTTTTTTTTTTTTTTTTTTTTACGACGTTCCGCACGTGCGCCTCTATTGACGCACCCCTCACCCGTTTGATGATGATGATGATGATGATGAGGAATGCTGGCCAATTTCATAGCAACATTACATCAAAACCACTGGTAACTAAACTCCATAGGAGAAGAAGCAAATAGAAGCTAAGGCAGTCTCTCTAATGGATCTCCATGCTACTTCACTGTAATATTGGCTGCCTACCCACCAATTGTTGTAGCAGTTTTCCCACATCCTTTGCATGACATTTTTGGAAACAAATAAATAAATAAAATCACTATTTCACTTGTATCACTCTGCTACTTGAAATATCAATTTGAAAAATTTATGACTTAAATGTCGACGTCATTCTAGGATAAAACGACGTCGTTTTGATACGTTTAAGCACTTCAGACTATACAAATTCGAGTTACGAATCATTTTTATTTAAAAAATTATCTGTTTCAAATATTAATATTAATTAACTAATCCTCAAATCAATATTCTTTTTTATAGAGTTCATTTTTTTTTTTTTTACGGAATATCATAACTATTAATACAAAAATATTAACCCCATTAACAGGATTAGAAGGTTGAACATCTTTTTAAGCTGAATAATTGTGAGAGCTAATAAAATGCGGCCTGTGCAAACAAAAACTCTCCTAATCCACCGTTTAGGTTCATAGATGCAAGGACAACCTTGTCCTTTTATCAATATATATATAATTTCTAATAAATCCTCTTTTCATGAATTTTCATTTGAATCTTATTAATATATGAATCAGTCATTTCAACATAAAAATTGTCAATAGAATGCGAAGAAAAAATGTCTTAAAAAAGTGGGACTTACCGATAATTTTTTTAAAAAAAAAACGGAAAAAAAGAAAAGAAAAGAAAAGAAGCACAACCTTGACCAAATTCAGGTGACAGAAGGATGCAATCATTCCAGGGGAGGCAAAAGATGAAAGAGTTACATAAACAAAACAACCATTCACCAAAGAAACAATAAAACAACACCGCACATTACTACATATAAATTCTTAGGATAAAATATCTGGACAAACAAGGGTCAAATGGGTCTCAATTCCAAAGTTATACATCATTTTGGTATTTGTTGGTCCTTGGAACTAATTGCATAACAATGACATAAAAGCATATACCAAACTAGTACAAACAGAACTCCATCGCTTGTAAATAGCATAATTTAGAAGGTTCTTTTTCACCATTGGAACATTAACTTTTAATCGTCTTCTCTTTCGGGGGGAGGTCCACAAGGCAAAAGCATTTTCTGCACAAAAGTATTAACACAAAAATCATGAGATTGCCTACAACATTATTATAATTAAGGTAAGGAGACTTGAACTTGTGTAGAGATTAGTGCAACTAAAAATTTAGCTACAACATTATAAGTTTGCACCACTGCAATGTTTTACAACATTTTATGCAGTTGACGCGTAAACTTCCTACCTTTCAACAGATACATAAAACTGTACTTAGCTCACAAGGAGAAGTTAAATGCATATCATACTAACGGGTAATGGGTCAAATGTTCGACAGCGAATTAACTAGAATGCTTTTAAGTTAGGGATGGTATTCCTGATCTCATCACCAAGAAGAAGTTGGCCATGGGTATACTTGTATCAGGATGTCCTTGAAGATGATATTAACCTTTAAATCTATTAACCTCTTAAATGGATTCATATAACCCACTGTAAAATTAAACGATTGAAATTGTTGAGCAAGTACATACAACTCCTTTGGTATGTGGTGAACCCATCATAATTTTGGTCATTAGTCCCAAAAGACATGTTCATTCATGCTTAGCATAACTTGCACCAAAACAGCATCCGCATATAACAAAGACAAAGCTCCAAATCCCAAAATCCATAGAAGAATGAAAATATAAATAACATCCACCAATGTACTTGATTTATGTTCTCGTCTGTTTGGCTTATAAGAAAACAAGGTTCTTTTGAACAATTGACATTATGGGAAGTTGTAGAAATTCATAACACTCTAGCCAGTTAGAAATGCTGGGGGGTTTTGGTTGCAGGAAAATTTATAGGGTTGGGGTTCTAAGAGCTAGAAGAAAGATTTATTATGAGTATGTATAAAGAAATTGGGTGAAATAGAGTTGATTTCTAAAGTATCAGATTACAGGATTTGCAGAAAAACTAGCCTGAATTTCTCCGGGTAGTGGCTATTTTATGGTGTTTAAGTCGCTTAGATAATGAAGCCAAATTGATTGTAAATGAAAATTTGCAAGAAAGTATTAACTTGATATTATTAACAGGCTTAAGACATGTGCCAGGAAGATGGCTGGAACAAGTTGGATATCATGCTTGACAAGAGAGATGGATAAGGAAAGAAGAGGGAGAAGTCGGAGGACCAATGGTTAGCAACAAGTAGTCTTTTTCAAAAAACAACAAAATTAATTAATATACTCTCTAACTTCTTCAAATGTCAACACTTGTCAAATGATTTATAAGTGATATATGAAGCATTTCAAAAACAATTCCTATTTTTCACTCCGTCTCTCATCAATTGTATAAAATAAAAATAAAAATAAAAAACACAGAAAATTGTTATTTACCTAATAAAAATGGAGAAAACAACTCGCTTCTTTATCTACTAAACCAAAAATTGTTTATTTTTCCTCTACTCTTTCTACATGGTAAGCGACAAATTAATTCGGGCAAATAAATAATCGAAGACAAACCATTCCCTCATACACAATTATTAACATTGATTATCAACCAATCCACAGGAACTTTGCACCAAGATCAAAATGGATTAAGAGGTGTAATATAAGCACAAAACTGCAACTTGAAATGAAAACACAACACATTCTGACAAAACACAACACATAATGTCAGCAACAAATTAGATTCATCAATCAGCACTTTTAAAGCACTTTCACAAGGAATGATTAGCCAAATTAGTTTCACAAATAAACCAAATAAAACAATGGCTATTAAAAATAAAATCATGCTATTTAGAGAGACAACCGGAATGATAAATTCATTAGACCACAATGACAATGAAGAGGATTATGGAAAAGATAATAATTTTAAGTGTAATATGTACTGAACCTGCATAAAGTTGTATCGTTCTCTTCCAATTGATTCATTTTCAGCAATGGCGAAATAAGCCAGCATAGGGTAATGTCCAACATATGAAGCATAGCTGTCACGTTGGATGTTCACTGCCCATTCACTGCACAACATACCAAATAGCACGATAAGAAAGAAGCTATCAAAACATATTACAAAAATTGCCAAAACTTTTTAAGAAATTGGGGAATACAATCTGTTCAAGTCTGCATGCCCAGTTCCAACATATTTCGCTTGCAGATGCTCAAGCTGGGAATTGATATTAAACCTGTCACTGGCCTGCATGATACAGACATCAACTATTATTAAATTGGCAAGGTAAGGCAAAATATAAAACCAGAAGAAACTCAACAGTATACTAGTAATTTATCCGACATAAAACAAAATAATTTGAACACTCTGAAGAACATGGACGAAAAGGGAAAACAACAACATACCCATCAAACCACTTTTGTCATCTATTCTTTATTTATTTATTTATTGCATTTTCAAGTCCATTGAACAATCCATTGTTTCATTCGTTGCTTACAAAGAAAATAGAAGGAAAGCAAATTTGAAATTTTGGGATTTTATCATTGTTGGAGACCCCAAAAAAACAAAATTATCTACTCAACCAAACAATACAATTATTTCCCCATACAAAAAACCCTTTCTTTTCCATAAGAGGTTAGGGGTTTGAATATCCCCAAACCCTTATATTTGTTTGGGCTCTTCCTCTCACTTTGTAGTTTCTTTATAATAATTATTCTTGTATTTGATTTTCAATTGTGGTTCATTGAGTTTCATTGTAATATGATACGTAATAAATAAAAAATTAAAAGAAGAAAAGACATTAGAATATTCAAGAATTTCACTTCAGCTTTCTCACAAATTGGGTCTAGGGTTTAGGTCCGAAATATGCACGAAAATTACCACCCCGGGGGGGATTAACACAAAGAGAGAGAGAGAGAGAGAGAGAGAGAGAGAGAGAGAGCAAAAAGTGCTGGTTTAGTGGAAGATTATGAGAAAGCTTTGGCAACTTCTAGTTCTAGGGTTTTCTAATTCGATGTTCAGAGTGACATTTTATAGGATTCGAAAGTCATGAAAATAAAGATTTAGAAATGTATGGAACTATATATATATACACCATATGTAAGATTTAGAGAGAGCAAAAAGTGCTGGTTTAGTGGAAGATTATGAGAAAGCTTTGGCAACTTCTAGTTCTAGGGTTTTCTAATTCGATGTTCAGAGTGACATTTTATAGGATTCGAAAGTCATGAAAATAAAGATTTAGAAATGTATGGAACTATATATATATATACACCATATGTAAGATTTACCTGCATGATCAGCTATCTGGAACACAGCAAACGACCGAGACGAGAAAGGAGGGAGGAAGGGAGAGACAGAGAGAGAGAGATTTTCATATAGGGGGTTCGACTATGGTACCCAAAAGTGGTATTCGGGTACCATACACAAAAATGAATTTTAGCCGTTAGATGGAAATTTTTAATCTGGACCATTGAAAAAATAAAAAAATAAAGCGGTTGAACCGGTTACCACACAGCCAGCACTTCCTCTCTCTCTGTTGTGTTCTGCCTCTTTCTCTCTCTACAATAGACCCACCCCTCCATGTATCCACTGTGTTCTGTTCTACTCTTTGAACTCAAATTCATTAGCCCCAAGGTTAGGGCAAATCTGGGAACAAGATCGTCGATTTCTACCTCAAAAACCCTTGTGCTCGCCTCACCCTTCTCTACTCTCAAGGTAATGCTGCTGATCTAGGCCAGCTTTACGAGCTCTTTGTTCAGCTCAAAGCCAATCTCAGAGTCAATCTCATTGGGTCAGCTTTTTTCCCCTTTGATTTTCTCATATATATATATATATATATAGATTCAGAGTTCCAAGTTTTATTTTTTGTTTTGTTTTGTTTTTTTTTTAAAGAAATTCTTTTTGGGTTTCTCTTCATTTCTATATATATGTATATATATTTGATTTTTTTTACAGTTACCTTAGAAAATCATATATATAAATATATCTATTGATTTTTTTTTTCTTATGATTTTTATAAAATCTTTTATATGGTAAACTTCATGAATTTTGTGGCGTTTGAGTTTTGGGTTTCTCTGCATTTCTAATAAACCTCACATATCCCCCCGTTCCCTCTCAAATGTGTTTCCACAATAAGAACAAAATGATGCATCGCCCAAAACCAATCCAAACCCATATACTGTAAATTCATATTTCACATTCTGAAGAACTCTAGCATCCATTAAAATGGTTTTTTTTTTTTTTTTCCTTCCCTCCTTTTGTTAAGTTGTTGCCAAATTTATCTGATTTTGGTGACATGCGTGAACTAGGGTTTGAGCTAGGAAGAGATCAACCTCAACTAAGAGCAACAAGTCTGCATAAAGGGTTTGGAAGGTAATTATTTTTGTATGGAGACTTCAGTCATTCCTATGATCTAATAATATATTGATATTGATTGGATGTATATTAATATATTTTTATTCCTCAATGTGTTTTTGTATGGTATTTTTTTGGGTTTTTGGTATGTGATTGGAGGTGGGATTTTTTTTCCTCAATCACTTTGGCTGCCTTGCAATTTACATTAAAGCAAAAGGATAGTATCCTAGATGCGAAATGCATATGCAGCTAAATTCACCAAGTTTCTAATTGGACACTTGAATGGCTTCCAGGACAAAGTAATGGCTATGGTACTTGGCATTTGAAGAATGGCACACTTGGATTTGAAGAATGACACTCGTTATCTGTTTGTTATCAGTTTGGTTTGGTATCTGCTGTTGTGATTTGCTGCTGTGAATTGGGACGGATGTGCTCAACTAAGGTGCCTTGGGATTGATTGTTGAAGGATTCAGTAGGAGGAGATGAATTTTGCCAACTGTTTTTTGCTCTCCTTTGTGATTTTTCTCTGCTTTTTGGTTTGTCTTTCTCAAATTGTCTTTTGCTCTGCTTTGAATTATTAGTTCCTTAATGTTTGCAGGTGAGATGGGCTGGAATTATGGTTGTTTTTACTTGTTATATGATCTGGTGAGGAGCATTGGGTTGTGTTGAAGGAACCATTCAACTAGAAGTGATCAAGTGGGGGATTTTTATTGGGTGATACTAGCTGGGGTTTTTTTTTTTTTTTTGGTGGGTGATTTTCTAGCTTAGCTAGGTGGATTGAGTACTTGAGTTGGCTTTGCTGGTTTGTATTGTATAGCCTTGGTTTGTTCTTTGTTTGTTTTTCATTTTCTTTGTTGGCTTCTCACCAACTTGTGAGGCTTGTGCTACCATATAATTGGCTATGCTTTTTAGTGTCAATCTAATTGGGATTGTGAAGTTATGTTTTGATGTTGTTTGCACTATCCTCTCCTTTATTGATGTATTTTCATGTGTTCTGTATGTTGATTTCATCAATAGTCTTCTTTCTTTTTGATGAGAAAAAAAGAAAAAGAAAAAGCGAAGCAATGGCTATGATTGTAGAATGCACGTCATCAATGACATTTCTCTTTTTATTTCATTAGATTGCACTTACTTGATTAATGTTAGCTTACCATTTCATTCAACCATACTTATCACTTTTTTACACTTCTCTTACAATTCAAATAAATCTCACTTACTCAACCTTACTTACTACTATATTAGATTTGACTTACTAATCCAACTTCACCTATTATTCAATGAGACTGCGGCACTTAAAATATTTAACAACAAATGGTAAGTGGAATCTGAATGAATGGTAAATTTTGTTCAAACATGACTTACTACTAAACAAGACTCTACTTAATATTTTATTTGACTTAGTAATTTACTACTTCCCACTTACTATTTTATTAGACTTGACTTACTACTCAATTAAATTCTACTCACTACTCAATAATACTCTACTTGCAATAAAATTTGACTCTACTACTCATATTTAAGTCATATCATCTTATCTAAGTCACATTATCTTTCTACCACATCACTTCAAACCCAACCCATATTTCATAAAAAGTCAAAAAGTGTACTTGTTTAGTTTATCCCAAACAACCCCTTACTATGTTATTATATTTGACTTACTACTCAATTAAATCTCATTTAATAGTCGATAAGACTCCACAATTACTCAATCAAACTTGACTTGCTACTCAACAACTGTTACTACCACCACCACCACCACTACCATCGCTATTGCTACCATCACTACCATGCTATTACTACCACCACCACCACTACCACTACCTTCATCAATATTGTCATTGTTTCCACAAACATCACTAAAATCTTACTACCACTATCATCGCTACCTCTACCACTATCACTGCCAACACTACCACCATCAATGCTACCATGCCACTACTGTCACCACAATGCCACTGTCACCACTACCTCTGTCACCACCACTATGCCACTATCACAACTACCACTATCACTACCACCACCACGACCACCACTACTACTACCAACATCACCATCATGTCACCACTACTACTTAATCAAACTCCATTTATTACTAGATCAAACATGAGTTACTACTCAATAAGACGCCACTTAATTAGACCTGACTTATTGCTTAATTAAATCTCACATACTACTCAATTAGATTATGTTTACTATTTCATCAAATTTATCATTGTTCCAAAAAAGTTGAAAAATACTTGGCTTCCACTTAGTACTTAATAAGTTTTCACTTACTACTTCATTAGACTCCACTTATTATTCAGTTTCGGTTTCACTTACTACTCAATGAGTTTCCACTTGCTATTTCACTATACTCCACTTACTACTCAACGAGCTTCTGCTTACTATTTCACTAGACTTTAATTACTATTCAATGAGTTTTTACTTACTATTTCATTACACTTCACTTACTACTCAATTTTGGTTTCACTTACTACTTAATGAACTTGTACTTACTGTTTTATCAGAATCACACTTACTACTCAATGAGACTCTACTTACTACTTTATCAAACTTGACTTATTAACCATTTAAACCACACTTACTAGTCAATGAGACTGTACTTACTATTTCATCATACTTGACTTACCATTCATTTAAACCACACTTACTATTCAATAAGACTGTACTTACTACTTTATCAGACTTGACTTGCCACTCATTTGAATCACACTTACTACTCAATGAGACTCTACTTACTCCTTTATCAAACTTGACTTATTTATTATTTAAACAACACTTACTACTCAATAAGACTCTACTTACTATTTTATCAAACTTGACGTAATACTCATTTAAACCACACTTACTGTTCAATGAAACTGTACTTATTACTTTATCAGAATCACACTTACTACTCATTGAGACTCTACTTACTACTTTATCAAACTTGACTTATTAGTCATTTAAACCACACTTACTAGTCAATAAGACTGTACTTACTATTTCATCAGACTTGACTTACTACTCATTTGAATCACACTTACTACTCAATAAGACTCTCCTTACTACTTTATTAGACTGAACTTACCACTCATTTAAGCCACACTTACTACTCAATGAGACTGTACTTACTACTTTATCAAACTTGACTTATCACCCATTTAAACAATATTTCCTACTCAATGAGACTCTACTTACTACTTTATTAGACTTGACTTATCAATCATTTAAACTAAACTTAAGGCTACATTTACTATTTCATCAAACTTGATTTTTTTTTCTTACCATTTGAATCTCATAATTTTTCTTTTAACTAGGTGAAATGTTGTTCCAACAAAACATAAAAATTTATAAATTCAAAATGTAATGGAAGTGAAAGTAAAAAGAGAGAGACTTACCTAAGGAGTTCCAGATCAACAACAATTCTATCTTAAAATCTTCAAAAGTTTTAAAAATGAACATCAAATTTTGTTTATAGAATCCTCAAATGAATTTGAAAATTTCCTATATTTTGTTAATCATATTTCTCATTTATTGCATTTATTGTGGTAGGTGAAAAAGATATTAGGCTTCATTAATTGCCATTCATTGCCATTAAGTAGATAAATAAAAATAATAATATTCCATAAAATGTAAAAAAATTATAAATTTCATATTTATTTTGTATATATTTTTTTTTTGTTTACATTCTATTTTATAAAATTTATATTTATTTTAGAGGTTAGGTGCATTTTATTAATGTTTGAATGGTAAGTGTAGTTACGTGGAATAGTAAGTACAACTATATCGAGTAGTAAGTGTGTTTAGTTGTTGTAGTAAGTTGGAAATCACTTATTTAAACCATACTTACTATTTTATCAGACTTACTTACCACTCACTTAAACCACACTTATTATTCAATGAGCCTCTACTTATTACTTTATCAGACTTAACTTACCACTCATTTAAATAACATTTACTACTCAATGAGACTCTACTTGCTAATTTATCGAATTTCACTCATCACTTAAACAACACTTACTACGCAATTAAACTCTACTTACTACTTTATCAAACTTGACTCATCACTTAAATAGTACTTACTACTCAATGGAACTTTACTTACTATTTTAATGGACTTGATTTTTTTTTTTCTTACCACTTAAATTTCATAGTTTTTATTTTAACCAGGTAAAATGTTGTTCCAACAAAACATTAAAATTTATAAATTTAAAATATCATGGAAAGTTAAAGTAAAAAAAAAAGATAGAGACTATAGAGATATAGATTGTTACCGAGGGAGTTCCAAATCAACAACAATCTTATCTTCAAATATTCAAAATTTAAAAAAATAAACATAAAATTTTGTTCATGGAATTCTCAAATAAATTTTAAATTTTCCTATATTTTATTAATTATATTTCTTCATTAATTGCATTTATTATTTTCAAGTGTGGTAAATGAAAAGGAAACTAGGTTTCATTTATTGCCATTAAGTAGATAATAAATAAAAAAAAAATCTTATTTCATAAAATGTAATAAATTATAATAAAATGTATAAAATTCACATTTATTTTGTATATTTTTTTCTTAAATTCTATTTTATAAATTTTATATTTATTTTAGAGATTTTGAAAATTTATTATAACTTAATTTTTTAAGTTTACATGTTACCTGAATAGCAAGTTAAGTGTATTTTATTAATAATTAAATGGTAAGTATAATTATTAAAAATAGTAAGTATAATCATATCAAATAGTAAGTGTAGTTTGTTATCGTGGTAACTTGAAAACTACTTTTTGGTTTCAAAATCATTGAAAACTATCTTATTTTTTATGAAACTACCTAGATTTCTTAACCTGATTTTAATTATTACTAATCAATGGTTAGATTTATTTTACTTTTAAATCTAATGGTCCAAATTTATTTATGTATGATACATGAAAACCACATTCATGTATCATAGAAAAATCCTCATATAGGATTCAGCTTCTCACATCTATCGCACCACTTCCAAGCCTTGGGTATGGTTTGACTTTTTTACTACTTGTTGCCAAAAAGAATAATTTGTTGATATTTTAAGCTTTTTATGTAATTTACAATAAAAAAAATTAAATTGCTCTAAATAATCATATGATTTTCATAATATTTGTTAAAAAAGCAAATAGATTTATGAAATTTTTATTTATAAGTCTTGTTAGGAAAACTTGTTTAATGTGAAATTTCTTATAGTTTCAAAAGTTATACTCCCTCCGTCCCAAAATAGGATCAAGGGTTACTGTTGCACTCTTTAGCATAGTAATGACTGTTGTGCCTCAATTTGATGTGTATTATAGGTTTATTTATATGATCTGAACCGTTCATTTTGTAGGGTTTGTTGAGTACTTCATTCTTACCAAAAATCATATTAATCAGATATAAATAGCTATATGATCGATAATCAAAAAAATAAACAATAAGTTTTTTAAAAAATAGCATAAAAAATATGCAATTCGATCATCTAGTTATTGATATCCGATTAATATGATTTTTAGTAGGTACGAAGTACTCAACAAAACGTACAAAATGAATGGTTCGAATTATAAAAATAATTACATAATACACCTCAAATTGAGGCGCAACAGTGACCCTTAATCTCCCAAAATAATGGTTCCTTTTGGAGAATCTAACTTTTTTTAATAGTACAATTATTGCACTTTAAAAATTTTGATTTTCTAAAATTACTTTTTAATAGTACATTTTTTGAGGAATATCAATGTCATAATTGTACTTTTTATGTTGTTAATGAATTTAAAATAAGGGTGAAATAGAAAATTTATATTATTTTTGTACTTGATTTTTGAAAATGAACTAATATTTTAGGACAATGAAAAATATAATAAAAGACTAATATTTTGAGATGGAGAAAGCATTTAGATAAGATTGTATTCCATGAGATTTTATAATGCTTAAATCAGTGTTGGTATTAGACTATTGTACCCTTAGTTTGTTTCCATTGTCCAATTATATTTTATATTTCTTATACCATGTTTGCCCTTTTTTTTTTTTTTTGGAAGGTTATCCCCCATTAGGCAATTATACGTTTCTTCACAATAGGAAAATCACTTTGATCGCGAGATTTACTGTGTTTCAAAATTTCAGATTAAATGGATGTGAATATGGCAGATGATCGATGAAGGTCTCGTGGTTATGTGTTTTGCATTCATCAGATTGCGAGAAGAATCAGTTGTCACGAAGAGGTATGTGCGTTTTTTTGTAAGCTATTTTTGTTTTGTATTACAGTGGTTTTTGACATTGTATCTATATGTTGAGTAATTTGATTCTCGAATGTAGAATTAGTTTGGGGTACATGTGGATTTGTTGAAATGATTTGCCTTATGTGTTCATCTATGTTGCAATTACTGGTAAGCAAACTGAGTTTTAGTTGTTTGTATTAGAACATGACTCACATTCATCAATAGCAATGGTGCATTCAGTCTCTTCTCGAAAATCACAGTGACATTACGAACCCACATTAGTTGGCATCATGTCACTAACATGTTGCGCTTCATAATCTACCACCAACGATTGGGCAAAATCGGAGCTCACATAACATTGGACTGCTTATTTTGGATCCCAAGATGTTCGACTATTTCAATGCTTAATTGTCTCATTGCCCCAAGGTGTTGCCCCCCGCGCGTAGAGTTCTTCACATTGGATTCAATAGCGTAAACCCACTCTAGTTGACCCCACGCTACGACATAGTCACACTTGTACATTTACGTTGGATTGTTTAGTGTTGATGCAAAAAAAATACATCGGTTTATATGACTCTGTGGCATTCTATTTTTAAATGTCACGTACATATTGTCAACAATTACTAACCTACATCAGTTGACATCATGTCATTACATCTCACACACATTTCCCCCCGCTCAGAGTTCTCCTTCACATTGGATTCAATAGCGTGAACCCACTCTAGTTGACCCCACGCCCCCCCGCGCAGAGTTCTCCTTCACATTGGATTCAATATCGTGAACCCACTCTAGTTGACCCCACGCTACGACATAGTCACACTTGTACATTTACGTTGGATTGTTTAGTGTTGATGCAAAAAAAATGCATCGGTTTATATGACTCCGTGGCATTCTATTTTTAAATGTCACGTACATATTGTCAACCATTACGAACCTACATTAGTTGATATCATGTCATTACATGTCACACACATTCTAAAGTGTATTCAAATGTACATTGCACTCCGCAGTCTACCACCAAAGATTAGGCTAAATCCGAGCTCACATGAATGTTGGGCTGCTTATTTTGGATCCCAAGATGGTCCCCAATGTGCCGTACGCCTTGCAAAGTTCTACTTCACAATGGATTAAATTTATGTGACTCCGTCACATTCTATTTTCAAAAGTCACGTATACGTTGTCATTGAGATTTGAAGGTACACGTTTGAGGGTTCCCATTGCGCTTTGTTATCTAAAACATAAATTTTGAAATTCAAATTCTCAACCATATTGATATAATCATAATCTATGGTAATATTAGATTTCTCATATATGGAATGTCGATTTTGAAATTTAAATTTCTAACCATATAGATATGATCATAATCTATGATAATATTGAATTTCACACATATAGCATTGCCATTAATCAAGTTATTAAATAATAATATTGAGGGTAAATGTGTCAATAAGAAACCTATAGAACTTCTAGGAACATAAATTTTTTCACAAGACTATATGTAGTATAATTCTTCTAAATATGACTTATAGTCTATTAATTTTTTAAAACAAATTACATAAAATCATATATGATAAAAGGAAAATGATATACAAGTGCACTTTTTAAACCCATGATTAGTTGATAATTAGAGAATATATGAGAAAAATTATTGCCTTTAATATCTTAATTAATTGTCACATCATTAACTTTTAATATCTTAATTGATTGTCACATTATTAAACTTTAAAATTTTATCTAATTTTTTTTTATCTTAAATAGCAATGCTCATGATAAAATCGATTGTAATTGTTGAATTAATATACATATTTTCAATGAATGATTTTGATACATAGACTAAAAAAATCAATGCATCGAATACACCCTTTGGCCCCGATTGTTTTGAGGTTAAATAGATGGGAGGGGATTATGATGGATGTAGGGTTATTTAGTATTATGTTTGTTTGTAGTGTTGGGGAGGGGATTAGGATGGAGGAGATGATATAGATGAAGGTTGGAAGGGAGATTGAGATGGAAGAGGTGGAGATGGTATTAGAAAAATAATGAATGTATTAGAAATTTTTATTTATTTTTTATTTTTTATATATTGGAAATTTTTTTTTAAATATTAATGTTTAATTTTTTATATTTTTTTATTTGTTTTATTATTTTATATAAAAATAATTTAACAATTCCTGCACTAACAACTATCATCAAAACAAACACAATTTTACTTAATCCCCTCACTATCAATCTCCTCACTATTAATCCTCTCTATTCTATCTCTGAAAACAAACGGACCTTTCAGATTTGGAGAGAAGCCCACTCAAATTATAAATTATGTTTTTTTCTTTTAGATAAATTATGAAAACACAACTGTCAAAATTTATCTAAAATACAAATTTCCTTCCTAAGTGCTTACATCCGCCAGCAAAGATTTTTAATTGCATAATAAATAACTTCTTTCATAGATCAACTATTAATAGAGTTAGATTATGTCACCAAATTTATTTTCCATAATATCAATTTTTACCCCTACCCATCTCTCTCTCCTTCCTCGGTATAGGTAAAAATCCTTTGAATGAAAATTCGTTTGACTTCAACAAATGCCTCCCACTTGATTTTCATATCAACATGTTAAAAACTTCAATGCAATTCTGAAAAGAATTTACAGCCCTGTAAGTCAAAAACAAAACAGCCTGCACTCTAATCAGGATCCAAAGTTCAAACAACTAGAGAGAACAGAGTACAGTAAAGCTCAGATAAAATTAGTTGTATTATCGCCATGTCAATCAGAGAACACAGCACGACAACATTAACTCTTGACAAAATTGCAAGTAAAATAAACCCCAAATATAAAAATTAAGAGATCGTAAATTAAAAAGGCCAAAAAAAAAAAGGCATTGCTATCATTAATCCAATTCTGAGAATGTAATTACATCAGAAACAACAGGTATTCTACAAATTTTCTGATGCTCAACAAAGAGAAAAAAAGAAAAAGAACATACACATCATCAATTATCAAGAAGAAAAGATATATATACTATGACAAAATAATTTACAAAACAGACCAAAATACAAGTTGACTTGAGGCAAATTAAAACCCACAAAACCGCCTTTTAATGTAAATAAAAGATGGATGAATCACTTTGGGTGTATCCGATAGTGAGGGCTTATGCCGGTTCACTTTGTTTTGCAATTTCTAGCTTTGGAGGTAAGAGGCTGAGAAAGCTTCCCTGAGAAGGTTGATTCACATCAGTCCCCAACTCATCATCTGCAACATGTTATCCACTAATGAGAAATGAAAATACATCCCAGCCAATGAAACATTCATCCCAGGTTTAATCTGTCTAGTAGAGTAATGATAACACAAATTTGTTCCTTGCATCACCATGTCAATGCAATGTTCAATGTTGATGATTGGGCACTAAACTCTGTTTTTTATTTTTTATCAACATGGTGATGCAACAGTAAATATACTACAAACACCATGAAACAACAGGTCTATTGAGAGAGAGAGAGAGTACCAAAAAGGGACTTGACAGTGGGTCTCTTAGGTTTGTTGCTCTTCTTCTTCAATTCAGCTGATGATAGAACATGCATAATTAAATCAAAAATAATGATATACAAATAGAAAATTCTTACAAAATGAAAGGACTAAATAATGACCTTAAACTTCAAAACAAAACATCCATGAAGATGGTTTCTATGTACAAAAATGCCATTCTAGTGGCGGTTGGTTGAATTGGAACTTGGCTAGGTAGCACCATACCATTTATGTTACAATTAACTTGTCAAGGAAATAAGATCAAAAAAATGCACAAGATTTATAACAGTATATTGAGACTGTTATATTGAGATTTATAACAGGTCACTGCATTTTTTTTTTCCTAATAGCTTTATTATACTAATTATAAGTTATATGTCATTATCCATATTTTATATTTTATTTTAAAATTCCAACTACACCAAAAAGTACATGGGCCTTGTGGAATACAAATTTACTTCATGATCATTTACAATTTCAAAGTGATGAGATGCATACCGATTCCAGGAACTTCATGATCATTTACAATTTCAAAGTTTTTATATGTATAACCCACGAAGTTGATGTCCTTGGATGAGAGCATCTGCAGCAGAGTTGAAGGATAGAATGAGAAAATTAATTAACAGTTACAAGTCATAAACACTATCAATGACAACATCATCAATCAAACTTCATGCTATAGAGACCTATGATGAAAGTGACTACAATTGCATGTTCCCTTAAGATAGCTTATATCTTATGCTAACATACATTTGCATCAGATTCCAGAACTCTCTACTCTCCTTCAAAAGTAACCAAAAGATCAAAAATCAAAAGTAAAACTCGCAAAATTGTCAACTCTCCTTCAAAAGCAAATTTCTGAGCACACTAGACCAAAAGTATCTTTGCCATAAAGCAGCATTTTGGTAAAGGGTGCCTGTAGTCCCACACGACAATACTTTTTCTCACCCACTGCATGCCAAAAAAGTAAAAGTTACTAATTCTAGAATGAAATTTACCCACCACCTTCCTTTTTCCATTTTTCTCAGAAAAGAGCTAGCAACCACCAGGTCAGGTGGCCTGGTATTTTCTTTCTTTCTTTCTTTCTTTCTTTCTTTTTTTTTTTGATAACGAGGAACCCCATGATCCCACCTTCAGTGAGACCCGGGGTAAAACCTCAAATATGTGAGTCCACCAGCTAGCCTCACATATCAGGTAGGTGAGGTAGGGATTCAAACCTGGATAGCCTGGTAGTTAAAATGTGACCGTTCAACTCACACATCTTCAGTTTGAGTCACTCCACTACTGAGGGTGCTGGGGTGGTCTTAGGCCTATGGACTGGATTGTCACCCCCTACTACCGTTTTTGGTATTTGCCCGAGAAAAAAGAAAAAAAAAGTTGGTTGCATGAGAGTGACTCTACGATGACAGTAATTGCTTGCAACCAAGCAACAGCAGTGACGCTGGGAAATTGTCATTCTATAAGCAATCATTTGTGACAAACCATGGCTGCCAAAAGGTTGTTCTGTCTCACCAGAAACAACAGAAATATCTTGTCTTTCCAATTTCATAAGAAAACAAAGGTAATCATGGTGTTTCGGCACTAGGGGCTAAAATTTGCAGGAATACTAACACAGACACCATCAAAATTAGCTTTACAGTGTTACAATGAACATAATTGATAATACACCAACCTTCCTCCATGGACCTGATCTTGTTGTAGTCGGAACTTGGTTATCTTCCTGAAAATCATAAAAGAAGCATAAGAGGAGAGAAAAGTGAGACACAAATGGTGTGTTTGGTTTGTGTTTTGAAACATGTTTTTGTTTGGTTACAAATTTTCTCAAAAAAATTCCAAAATTACTTCACTCTATTACACATCAATCACTCACTTTTTCTCCCTCTTCTCTCATTCTCAATCACTTTTTCTCTCTCACATATCTCCTCAACTACAACAAAATATCAAATCATCCCAAACTCCAAGATTATTTCCAAAATATACAACCAAACAAATCAAAAAAATTTCTAACCTCTCTCCCCAAAAAATTTTTTGAAAATTTATCTCACAACACAAACAAAACACACCAATATCTGCAAAAAATGGAGAAACTCCTGCACCTCATCAAATTTCTCAAAGTTTTGAGTGTCCAACTCATCATTGACTTCAGGGATAAATGCAGCTTTCATCAGATATAATTTCTCCCATTCAATACCTCTGAACCAAGGGTGGGCCTGAAAATAACAAGCCAAAATGGAAATCCCTCAATTTGAAATTCTTTAATTTAAATATATTGAACAACTCAGAATGGAACACACCACACAACACCTTTATTTCATATGCGCCTTTTGTTCCGAGCCTTTGATCAACATTACATAATAGTTTACTGATAAGATCCTTTGCTTCTGGAGACAGCTTTGCCTCTTCTGGAAATTTTAAATGAGTTCTCCAGTTTACTATCTGCACAAGTGACAAAGAGAGACTAGTTCACTCATGGATGAAAAACTAGGACTGGGAAGAGAGTCAAGAAACAAGGAAATGACAATATTTATACATAAGCAAGGAAGTGAGGTATAATATTATTTATCTCTCAAATAGAAATTGAATTGAGTTTCAACAGTTACAAAAATTGAATATAAGTTTCAACAACATTGAATTCATCTTATACAACAAACAAATATTTATGGTCAAAATGATAAACCACGTCAGTTTTTAATAAACGGAGGAAAGAAGAATTTCAAGGTAAAACAACGAAAATGTGAAGCAGGTGATCATATATTTGTACCAGGTTTATAAAGATTAAACAAGAGTTTCTCAAACAGATGCCAATGAACATTCTAATTGTGTAACCTTGCCAACCACAATGGCTTGGGATTTGGGTGCATATGATCTGGTTTGTAAGATGTATGTAATAATAGCCCCAAACATCATTCTTTTCAGACTGAAGCACTTCCATCCAAAATTCACTGTTACTATCCTAGTCACTCCACAAAATGCTAAAATTGGAGACATTACTATACCAAATTACTCCACAAAATGCTCAAATTAACTAGTGTCGAGGTCCTCACGGAGCAAAATATATACGGAGGAAACAATATTCAGATTAAGACATAAACACACAGGATAAAATCCTTCAATCCCTTCTACCCAACTACATTCATCATCACCAACTCCATTAAAAGCAATGGGATTATCTGAGACTAACGTGTTGGTCTGGTAGATAAGTGTTGCGTGATACAGCTACCCCTTCCTCCATTCCACTACTAACTCTCGTTAAAAAAAAATGTCATGACATTATCAATATAACAAGAGCATCTACACAAACCAAAGGTCCTCCAGGAGGAGTATACAACTGAAAGGTCTGGGTTACAATTAAACCATAAAGGTCAAGAAAGAACAGGAGGAAATTCATACATCATAAAATTGCTCAACTTCCCTTGCATGATAAAGAGATAGTATTACAATATTAAAAAATTTATAAATGCTTCAAATGTTAATGAGTCAGCAGTATTCTATTATTTCCTAATTTTCTTTATCCCCAAAATCATCCACTGGAGACTAGGATCAGGTAAAATGAAAGATTACTGGAATCTTAGGGAAGCAATGCAAGAGAATAATATAGAGACCCTGCACCAAAATAAATCAAAAGCATGAAACTGAAATGTATTGCCAAATTACCTTCCGACAAGTGGACATGGGTTCATCTGAATAAAATGGTGGATAACCCACAAGCATTTCATACATGATAGCACCAAGAGACCACCTGTGAACATACAAAGAGAATCTCATCGGAACATAGAACCAAGGAAAAATGCCATAAAAAATAAAAGAAGAAGAAGAAGTACTAAGAAAATACAAACCAATCACATTCCATTCCATATCCTTTCTTCAGCAAAACTTCTGGAGCAATATAATCAGGTGTACCAACGGTAGAATAAGCCTATAGTATCCAAAATGAGAAGTTTTAGATAACATCAATCCCCGTTGTCACCAAAAGAGCTTGCTAAAACAAACTTAACAACAAAAGGGATGAACTCGGGCATTCTATAATTCTCATAGCCAACCATAAGTTGAGGATAGTTTCACCAGGCATAAGTTCTAGAAAGTTTGGTTATTCAGATGTACTGTGGTAGGAATTTTGAAGAAATTAGGAACATGGGCACTTTTCAAACCAATGTCACAATAATTTGATTATAACAAGATATCACAAAGCATGTGAATCCAGCCAAGCTTGCGTCCCTAAATTCCCAAAGAAACCCAATTGTGGAAGTTTTACATTCAACACAAGCACCCTCCATGACAACATAGGGTCATTATGTTGGTTAAAAAGCACATCAACAACACAAAAATAGAGAGATTTCAGCTATAGAAGGGCTTACAAGCATCCTTCTGTTCCTTTGCCAGTGCTGCAGTTGCTCCTGTTGACTGCGTTTTGGTGCAACAGGACGCCCATCACTTTGAAGGGCACCGCTAAGGTTATTTCCCACAGAAAAATCCTTCTCATGAAGATTACTACAGTCCAATGGCTTACAGAGTCCAAAATCTGACAATTTCATGTGGCCGTATCTATCAAGCAGCAAGTTGTCAGGCTTGATATCTCTGTACATATAAATGCAGAAAGTTTATTTCCTTCCGATATAATGTAATAAAATCTGATAAGGAGCACAAAATTAGTTACCAACAGACAATTACTAAAACTGCCCACAAACCTATGAATGTAATTATGTTTATGGATTGACTCAATAGCCAGCACTGTTTCCCCAACATAAAACCTTGCCTCATCTTCAGTCAATGTATCCTTCCGCATCAACAAAGTCATCATATCTCCACCAGGTAGGTACTCCATTATAAGATAAAGATACTCCTCGTCTTGGAAGGAACAGTAAAGTTTGACAATGCAATTGCTGTCAACCTCTGCAAGTAGATTTCGTTCTGCTTTCACATGTTCAACCTACACAAATTCACCGCAAAGTGGCAATAAGCATTAAAAATATAAAATTGAAAAAAAAAAAAAAAAAAAAACTCAATAAGATAATTGGCAGGACTGATTAGAAGCAAACCTGCCCTCTCCGAAGCATTTCTGATTTTTTAAGCTTTTTCATAGCATACACATGGCCAGTTTTCTTTTCTCTACATACTCTAACCTGCACAACAAAAGAAAATCAATCATGAATTGCAATTGACAGCTTCATTTAATTACTATAGCATTCTTGTAGAAAGGTTCTCGACAGAAGTATTTCAAGAACCTCCATATCTATCAAGCTGAGACATAGAGACGGCGGGAAAAAAGTCACTAACTAATGCCTCCTGCCATCTAAGTACTGAATAAAGAAGCAATTCCTTCCAAGTTCTGGTGAACAGAAAAATGTCACCACTCATGAAGCAAAACTTCAGTCTATTGGTGTTGTAACATTCTTACTCAGTTCTGATCAGATGGCTTAAGTGAGAACTGTATTTGAAGCATGATACATGTCCTACATTGTGTGTATGTAGTTGTACACATACATACACAATTTGCCTAGTTGACTTGCTTGTGTATTTAAAATATATGTACACAGAAGCATATACATCTGATGTTCAAAATTACATCAGAACAAGGCCTTTGTCTAAAAATTTGCACCTGATAAGCATTCCATAACAGAGTAAAACACAGAGCATTCCACAATTAGTAGTTTTTGGACATCAAAACGCACACAATATTCCAGCACAGAGAATTAACTAAAGATTCCTAAATCCCAGTCTCCCCTCCTAAAACACCCTCAACCTGCCATATCGGAGGAACAAACGGAGAGAGAAGCAGCGGGATGTATTACTCAGATGAAGGAAGGTGTTAGGAAGAGGTCTAAGAAACAGAACATGATCTGTTGACTACCTGCAAACACTACCACATGGCTGAACCACATGAATTGCAAGACACAGAAGAAAATGCAGGAAATTTGGCAATATACCATAACAGTTACAACAGGGAATTTCCAATGGTGGAATTTTGGAAACACAAAATGACCTAGGAAATTTACCAAACCTCACCAAAAGATATCATAATAAAAAGAGCCATACCTCCCCAAATGCACCCTTTCCTATCATTGTCAATGGTTCAAAATCATCAGCACCCATTTTATGCCTCTGAAGGCGCATATACTCTGTTTCCTTCTTCTCCAAATATTTTAATATGTTGTTTTGCTCTTCCTCAGTGACCTCAGCATCAGCCAACTTCCTTTCGAGCATATTACGCCTACATGATAAGTAGAAAAATACCATTATTCAAAGTACCACAAATGGATAATCACTCAACAATCAACTATTTCTCTTATTAAAAGGGCCCATTTTACAAGAGAAGGAAAGGAGATAATCAAGAAGGATGCTTGATCATTCTTTAAAATGAAAACAGACGACAGAATATAACACAAGCAGGCAACCCAAAAGAAGAAAGCCATAGCACCAAATGGCCCTAACAATCCACAAAGCACAAACTCCATAATCACATTGATTATTGCGAAAGGAACTTTAAATCATTTCAAAAGAACTCGCAGAGACATTATCTTATTATGCATACATGAAGGTCAAAGCAAAACTGTGCAGAACGAAATATAAACAACAGCTGAATGAGCAAAACATGAACCGAGAGTTAATAGTTGTCTTAAGTGAGAATAAGCTATTGATCTAAAAACAATTAATAATAACAGAGAAATTTGATTGGCTCCACCAGTTGAAAAATATATATATATATAGGAATGGGCATTCATTCACTCCAAAAAAAGATTGAGATGACACAGCCACACAGGCCGAATGCCTGGGAACTATTTTACAGGAAAGGATCTCAGACAGGCATCTGCAATAATGATAAGCAAAACAGGCAAATCAGGTGTTCAATCTATCATAACAAGCATATGATACAAGAGGTGTACAATTTCAATACAGAAGGTGGAAGCTTGAGCCAATGCATGCTACCCAACTTTAAAAAGACTCCCATATCTAATAAATTATACAACTTAAAATACACAAAATTTTCAGCTAAACTGCAATTAGTAATTGTAATTACACTGGTAAAATTCAATAATGGAAGTGTGCCAAAAGAATTGGAAAATTAGCCGAAGATGAAAAGGTTGCAGAAGAAATTAGTCAACCAGCAGATTTTCAACTGGCTCCAGATAAAATTGGTAAAAAGCTGAAACAGTACACTCCAAAGCTCTTTAAACACGTGACGTAAAGGATGAAACAGGGGATTTTTGCCAAAAAATATAGCTCAAGAATTGCCCATGACATGAGTTACATTCCATTACGTATAGTGTAATATCACCAGTCCAGATGCTCCATCTTGACTAATCCTGTCTTGAAATTTTTTACACAAAATGAGATGGAAGCAAGTCAACACCAAGTTGCCTCGTAATTGGAGGATAATTAGGAGACAAAATTCCTGGAAAGTCCAAAATCTATGTAGTGTGATGCTATCCATTATCCAGTATGAGGTATACATGGAAGTGAGATGCTATCCATTACAAATTGCAGTATCAACAAGGCTAAGCATACTTAACAAGTTTACTCTACAAAGTACGAACATAAAAGAACACTTTTGGGAGGAGTACAGCAAAATGGATGATGGAAGAAAGCTTTCAAAAGAAAAATGCCTGGAGCCTTCAAAGGAAAGTCTGTGTAAAGATAAAAAGAGTTGGCTCAAGTACAGATGCTGACAATGACTGGTAGCAAAAGGTATTGAAGCCTTAAGCCTCTCATGGCAAAAACGAATGTTATTGGGAAAGTTGATTGTGGAACTATATCTGTTATCATGTCAAACACATATCACTACAAGCAGGAAACTCCAAAGGCATTACATTATGCACAACCCAACAAACAAAAATTCAAGTGACCATCAGTGCTCAATTGTTCTTTATCAAGGAAAATATGAGGCTGTAAAATATTATGGATGAAAATCAAACTAAAATAGAATATTTCATGTATTAAATGGAAGTCTTATGTGTAATTATATAGTAAACTTGCCTGCTTATTCATACTTGTTAGGTGCATGTCTAACTAGGCATATCGGTCGCAGATTCAATACCCTTACCCAAGTTTCAAGTGTCCAACACAGGTACTTCGCAAATTTGGAAGTCCATGAACATAGATGGAAAGGTATGGAATATATGCATCAATCTTATTGTCGTCACACAATTCATCTGTTGAAGTATAGGGAGACAATGAGTGACAAATTATTATCATACAGCAAATACTTCCCAGTAAGCAGTTCGACTTGGTACAGCACTAAGGCCTCGTTTGGGAACCCTCCATTTTAGCCAAAAAGCCAAAAAGTTACTAAATTAGCCAAAAAACCAACAACCCATACCAAAAAGTCAAAGATTCTCTTTTCTCTCTACTTTTTGCACATCTTTTCGTAAAAAACCAAAAAGTCATCCCAAACATACTAATTTTTTTAACTCATATTTTAGCCAAAAAACCAAAAAGTTACTAAATTAGCATGTTCCCAAACGAGGCCTAAGGAAGGCTTTCAATATAGAATTGATTAAAAGAGGTTTCATCACAGTAGTCACCTAAAGAGTTGAAGTAGCCTCAAGGGACATTAGAAGGGTAAAAATCAATGTTCAACAGAGACTTGACATGAACATTAAATGGAGATTATTCAAGAAGCTACCTCAACAGGATCTAATACTGAGCGAAATGACACATGTACCATATGTGGAATTACAAAATTTCATTCCATAGCAACAAGCCTGGAGTCCATATCACGATCAACAGTCCAGATCAAGCCTCAGAGCATCAGAGTAGAAAAAAGCAATCCTCCAACTACCCCTTGTGTGAACATAAACCCTCAGAATTGCTACATTATATTTACATTTTGGAAAAAGTGGAGACAACTATATCCATGATCAGGCAGAATTTCATCCAATCAAGCACTGATCTTTCAATGAGACAGAAGTGTTTAATATAATCATTTTAAGCAACTGTCATTTAATTCTAAGATTTGCCTTCACATCCATCCAACATTTCATTTATAAACCTTACAGAAACTAGTCGTGTTTCTCACATGTGCCCCAATCACAGAAATTCAATAAACCTTTTGCCACCACGCATCTAGTAGTGAACATAGATCTTAAAGAACGTAACTTTTAAAAGTAAGACAAGTTTAAGGACCAAAATGGGTTTCCTGTAGTAAGACCTAAATATGACAAGTATTATTTCAATCCACCCTCGCACAAGCTTGCTCAAATCACCATTAAAAATATCTATGTTAGGCACTCAATTTACCGCTCCATGCCCTCTCTCCCTCTCTCTAGATAACCCCCATACAAGTTTAGCTTCTATTCCTTCAATATCTTTTGGCCCCGTTTGCTTGATTAGAGGGGCAAGATTAAGACTACAAAACATGCAATCACCACATGTCCCCCCGTATTCCTCTTGTCCATTGTTTGGCAAAAAATGTCTCATCTCCAGATATGGCTCTTATCCCCCCCCTATGGGGAACTAAATGGGAGGATAACTTACTGTGGTCGGATGCAACAAGCAAGGAAAGGTTTGAGGTGAAGTCTTTCTATATGGTTTTGTTGGGAAATAGGAGGATTAAGTTTCCTTAGAAAGGCATTTGGTCCATTGAACCACTTTGGATTTATTTATGTTGTTTGTTCAGAATGAGACCCCACGAAAAATTATTGATTTGATTAGGAGAGGAAAAAAATTCATGTTAATTGGTGTTGCATGTGCACGAAGGGATGGAGAGTCGAAGACACGCCTACTCGTTTTTTTGAAGTGTAGCAAGGAAATTGTGGGGCCTAGACTAAGCATTGTTTGGGTTCGCTTGTGCTTTTCATAATGACATGGTTGGCGTTTTGCTTGGGTGGTTTTTCTTGGGTGGTTGGGTGGAAGGGTAGGAAAGTGAAGGAGGAGGGCTAGGCATTATGTTGGATGTGGCTGTTATGGACGAAAGATAATAGGAGGACCCCTTCCAGGCATTGAGCAACTGACATATGGGCTTAAGAGTAGTTTTTGGTGATTTTGTATAGTTGGCTTTCAAGGAAGATGATGCCTAACCTAGATCCTCTTTTGGATTTTATGGATTCTTTGCATAGATTATCATGATTTAAGCTTTTGCATACGGTCGACATACCCTTTTGATGGCCTTTTTTTTGGTAAGTAAGCATTTTATTACAAACAAAAGACAAGATTTACAATAAAGCTCAAGACATACCCAGAGAAAGCCTAGCTCACGTGTCTTTAATTAATAATATTTTGTCTTGTCAAAAAAATATATATACCACCCCACATGATCTCCCATCCTCCCTCTTCCATCCAAAGATAAAAAATATTCCTATCCCCTTTATCCCATTCTTTATCCCACCCTAACCAAACATAGTACAACTAATCCTATGGTAGATATATTCTCCTTCATTATCTCGTGGTATTACTTATCCCTCTCTTTCCATGGTATTCAATACCCCCAAAAAAATCCAACAAACAAACACAACCAAAAATGCAAAGACATCTACTCAAAGCGTGTTATTTGCAATGCCTGCGTGCTCTCCCTCCAAGCTGTCCTCCGTTTTTAAAGAAGTCTAGGTTTCTTGAACTCCACACCCTTTTACAAGTATTACCTTCTTGGTCAAAAGTAATTCCTCTCCATTCCAAACATGTTAAATAAAAATTTGAGGAAATTGTTATTTCAAGCAACACTAGTATCCATATAGAATATTTGGTTGTATTTTGCAAACAGAGGATTAATGGCCATTTATGTCCCATCCAAAATATTTATTAGGCAAATAATACAAGTAGATACATGATTCTTGAACATTAAATTTCATTTTTCCTTTGAAAGTGTAATGCTAGAAAATAAACCAAATACAAGCAAACAATTACAAGTTATTACAGTTAAGGTTAGCAAAATTCTAATGAAAATCTTATCTTTGGCTAACCTTAGAGAACATAGGATCATCTTATCCCTAGCAAACTTCGTATGAAGTTATCATCATTTTTTTTCATTTTTTAAGCCCATAGGCGCACCGAAGCAAGTGTCAAGGCTGGCATCTCTAATTGTTGCATGATATACAAGAAGTTAAAACCATAGGTCTGATATTTTCCAGACTAAACCTATGAAGCACGGACACGGACACGCATACGGACACGGACACGGCAATTTTTAAAAAATGAGGACACGGACACGGCAGGGGACACGGCAAATTTTTTAATTTTTTTATAAATATTTTTATTTTAATACATATTAATTATTTTATTTATTTATTTATTATATTTTTTAAGTAATGTATTCTAATTAATTTTTTTTTTTTATATACATGTGTTTATTTATTTTAATTAATATGTATGAGTATATATAATATAATAGTTATATAATAATAACTGATGTCATCCTTTATAACTATTATAATAATAATACTTTCAGTTATTATTATATAATAATAAGTTATATTATATATATATATATATATGAATCCAGAAGAAGAACGAAGATAAAGACACGGCAGAGAGAGAGGAAGAAGCGATCGATCGCGATTGCGATCGCGAGGGAGAGAGAGAAGGTGAGAAAGAGAGCTCGTCGAAGTCGAAGGGCGACTGGATTGTCGAAGTCGAAGGGGATGGAGCTCGAGGTCGACGGCTTACGATGGTCGAAGTCATGGAGGTCGCCAGCGAGTCGATTGGATCGAAGTCCAGGTTTGTTTCAAGACCTTTACTCTTCTCCTTTACTCTTCTTTTTTTGCTCTCTGTGTCCAGATTTGGTGGACACGCGTGTCTCAGCCGTGTCTGCACCGTGTCCCATGCAAAAAAATAATTAAATTAAAGGGACACGCCACCCGGCGTGTCCCGTACGTGTCCCCGGCGTGTCTCCGTGTCAGACACTGCCACGGCATGAAATCTGCCGTGTCCATGCTTCATAGTCCTAAACCCTCTCTCTCTAGGTCATCCTAACTCATTGACATCCAAACTTGAACTCCATACCCTCTTATAAGTGTTACCTCCTTGATCAGAAACTAATACCCCCCACTCCAAACATGTTTACTACAAATTTGAGAAAATTGTTATTCCATGCTTCCCCTTATCCAGACAACTGACTATTACAGAAATAAGTGTTAGTTTTATAAAAATTCAATGCTCATTTGAGTGAGTTTTTGTGCAAAATATGTATTGAAATACTCATATCCACATAGAATATTAGGTGGAATTTTGCAAATAGAGGATTAACGGCCTATTTGTTAATAAGTTCCATCCAAAGTAGTTATTAGGCGAATAAAGCAGGTTGATTTATGATTCTTGAACATTAAATTTCACTCTTTAAGAGAGTGAATGCTTGAAAATAAACCAAATAATGCGAACAATCACAAAATGGTAGACTTAAAGATTAGCAAAAATATAACGCAATCTTATGTTCACCGACCTTAGATAGCAGTAGGATCACCTTATCCCCAGCAGAAGTGCACTGAGTAAAATCTATATCACATTACACTATTTAAGCCTATAGGCACACTGATGAAAGCATTAAGGCTGGCAGCTCCACTTGCCACAAGAAAGCAAACTGAATTTTCTTCCTTTGATAAATGGCAGCTTGGTGTAGGTGATTGATTAAATGGATGCTACAGAAGGTCACAAATGGACATTATAGTTGAAAGTGGCTGGTGATTGGTTACCTGGAACTTCTTTGTTCCCCCTACACAACTCAAGTTAACATCATAAGTAACTGGATGAGATACTCAACAATTCCAGAGTGTTGTGAAGCAGATGACTCCAATACCGGGACACAAACCCAACCCTCATATTTTGAGTTCCATGTAATATGAAGCGCTAGTGGGTGTAGTGGTGGTGTTATCAAAGTGCCTGTTAGTAAGTGGCAATGTAGATGAGAACAATAGCATTGGCAAAAAGGGTGGAAAGGTGATGGGTTGCTGAAGAAAGCAACCAAATGGTGGTGCTAGCATGCTATTGGATGACGGAGGAGATCTCAGTGACCTATTTGGGAGGTGTTGGTGCTAGGCTAGAAGTAGCAATGAATTCAAATGGCTAAATTTTAAAGCAGTGACAAGTAGCTACCATGGCAGTGTTTATTGGTAACATGACTCACAAAAGGTGGTAGTGGTGATCACATGGTGGCAGTGATGCTATTGCTGCCAGGGCTTTGTTGTTGCTACTCAAATTCTCAAATTCTAATCAACATTGCAGATGACAGATGACAAATCCTAAACAACTTTGTAAATCCTTATTTTCCTCTTTCTTCCAATCAAAAAGCAATTTTTGGATTCAAGGTTTAACAAGTTTGTGTTCAGAAGATAATATTCATATATAGGATCGCGGATTCAAATTCCAGTCCCTGCTCCATTCCTTATTACCCCCATCCAACAGATCCTTAGTGACAAAACTCAAGGTCTTTTCTTCTTTTCCGCCATAGAGACCAATTCTGCAAGAGTTAATATTTAGAGAATACACTAGGGTTAAAAAACAAACCCAAATACGAGATAACGTTACCAACATTTCAATTTACATTTTGCGAATACATATCACCTTGCACAACTATCCGCCAACAATCTTCTTTCAAGTGTCCATATTATTGCTAACCATTATAACATAATACAATTTACTTGTACACACATGTTATCATATATTGAGGACTGTATGCATTTACTTGACATGTAATCAAATAGCTAAGGAGGACAATGTTGTAGCTGATTTCAGAACAAGCCCCTATTATATGGAGCTTGCAGGCCAGATAGGATTGGGGTCAACCAGAAGGCTAATACCATTAAGTGCACGAAAAGGCCATTATAATTAATATTTTACCAGTTATAGAGCTACACTCTTGCAGCGCACTTTTTTTAAAAAACAAAATCTGGCCAGTGGCAGAAAAGTCTGATCCAACCCCCCCCAAAAAAAAGCTTCACCCACTTCATTTTCCTAGTGCATGATCATGGGAAGAAGCTATTGATACAAGAAATCGTGTGACAATAAAAATATGGACATGTTAAACAGACCAATGTTTCTTGAACATTGGATGAATGAGAATGGAAACAACTTCAAACATTCTAAAAACTGCAATCCAATATACACAATAATCTCTGTAGTGTATATACTATAAGCATGACCAGTTAAACAATTAGCCTGCTCATTAATAGATGGAGCACAGAAGTCATACCGCTCCTTCCTCTCCTGCAAGTTTTTCATCTGCTCTTTATAATGCTTTTCTATATATTGCTTAGCTGCTGCAACCTTCTGCTTAGTGGCATTTGAAGGTGCTTCCTCATTGGTTGGTGCTTTGGACCCTTCTTTTCCATTTGTTGTTTCCTTCTTCGAGTACTTATGTTTATCTTTCGATCGGAACTTACTAAACCAGCGCCTTGCCATCTCCATTTCTCTCTCTCACGGTCCACTTTCTCCTCTAAACACAAAGAGAACACAATTCATCAACTAAAACTCTCGAGTATCAATGCAATCTCAGCTCCAAAAGAACCGAATTTCATTTGCTCCGTACATTGAGAGAGAGACAAGAGAGATTAACAAAGCACGATAATATATGCATCTTCGAAAATTACATTTTGAGCGATCTTTAGTTTACTGCAAAGATCAAAACAGATAAAGATAACACACTAAATATTAAAACTCAAATGCATCATTCAAGTAAAAAATAAAACTCACATCCTCGAAAATCTCTTCGGCACTAAATGCACAACAAAAATCGTCAAATTCACCCAAAATTGAGAAGTAAAATAAATACATAAATTCTAAAATTTTCAGAAAATCCATTTTTTTTAAAACAAAATATAGACCAAAAGCATCAAAATTGAAAAAATCACCGCTTTGTCAGCCAAATTGAACGCAATTCAACACATCAACCGATCTGGAAGAGTATAAAACTGAAATCCTAAAAGTTCGGAAGCCTCAAAGGCGTTAAATTTTCTCCGAAAACAGTGTAAACAGTTTAAAAGCCCTAATCTCTGGTAGTTCTGTAGCTTAAAAACCAAATCTGATTCGTCAGACACAGAAAGTAAGGGGGAGAGAGTACCGAGTGAATTGCAGTTGCAGAAGAATAAAAGCTATTTGGAAACCCTAACGCCAAATCAGGAGAAGCGAAGAAGAAGAAAGTGGTGGTGGTGTTTGGTGATGGTGGGAGTGACCACTATGCGGGTGTAGAGCGAGGTTTTGTACGCGTGAAAATGTGATCATCCAACAATTGCCCCCCTCCTTTTCTCTCTCCCTCTCTCTCCCTCCCCCAATTGAAACTCTTTTTCCAACTTTTGAACAAAGCTGTGCTGTTAGTGTTTTCTTTGTTTCTCTCAGTGTCTCTCTCTCTCTCTCTTTCTATATCGTGAAACTTCTCGCGGGACAATCAACGCCGTTTGCATTACACAGTGAAGTGTGTGGGTGTGTAACCGTTAATTAGCGACGGCTCATTGAAGGCGGTGAGCGTAATGCGCACCCATTCCGATGCTTTTGTAACGGATTGCTTTGTTTCCTTCTCATTTTTAATGAGTTACTAATGAAACTTTATTACTGTAATATATGTATTAATTAGTGTATATATTAGTATATTAATAGATAATATGGTATAATTTTAAAATTTTGAGTATTTATAATTTGTATAATACATAGGGCCATTAATGCTATTATAACACTAGTGTGTACACTAATTGATACATGTAGCACCACCGAAAAATAATAAAAAAATGTTATAAATCTCAAATTTTTTATTAAATAAATAATCAAACGTCTCACATGATATGGGATCACAAAATTGCGGATCGTACAGCATATTTGGTCATTTTTTTGGTAAAAAAATTGGTATTTCTAATATTACCCAAAATAATAATCTATCTATCTATATTATTAAATGAAAATCTAAATTGATTTAGTAAAAAAAAAATTTCTTTTCAAGTCACGTGACAACTTTATATATGTTAAGATAAAAAAAATAATAAATTATTATATACAGCATAAACAAGTTTTGAACTCAAAATTTTAGATTTCATTAAGAACATACTTGTGTAACATACATATTATGATATTAAATTCTTTATTATTTATTTTTATTATTAGTTATCTGAATTACACACGTATTACGTGTGCCACCCGCTAATAATAATTAAATATTGTTTAAAGAATAATTTATAAAAAAATCTATTTGTACATAAAATTTATATAAAAATGTCATAAGAATAATGTGAGAATGTCATTATTGTAAATAAATTCATACTGATTCACAATAAGCCACATAATATATGAAAATTATAATCTTTATTTATTTCTCATAAAAAATAAATATTATATTGATTTTTTTTATTTGTTGAATTTCATTTCTAGAGGTAGCTTACATTTGGTGTCAATTTGCATATAGTTATGTTTCATTTTAATAAAAAAAAAATTCAAAAATGGCATAATAACCATGTCAAAATTGTTAATTATCTTCTTTTTGCCAAGATAATTGAAATTTTCTTCATTCACATTCTAAATTTAAAAAAAAAAATTATTGCCTCTACTATGTAAATATAAAGAATTGTCTCGGTTATATGAAATATTATAATTGACCTATGATCATGATCATCGTTATAACAAAGGAGATATTACAATGTACATCCTAAAAAATGTGTATATGGTATATCTTTTATAATTTTTTCACAAAATTTCATAACTTAAATCCAAAATATCATAACTTTTTTTCACTGAAAAATGTCATAACAAAATGTCATAACAAAAATCATAAAATATTATAACATTATCATTCCTAACTTTAAGATACACATCATAAATTTGCTATTCATAACTTTACTACAAAATGTCATAAAATACATCACAAACAATCATAATATTTATCATAAAAAATTTAGGTAGCGTTTGGTTGTGTTTTGTAAATGTGATTTGAGAGTATGAGTTGTATTTTGAGTTTGTATGTTGTGGAATTATAATTTGAGTGTAGAAAATTTGTTTGGTAAAGAGTTTTGAAAATAGTTTTGGAAAAGAGGTTTGATTTGAGTGGGGAATTATTAATGTGACATTTGATATGTGATACAAAAATTTACAACTCATAACTAAATATACAATTCAAAATTATTTTAAAGCACATAAAAAAATTTAAAAATTTTCAGAAAATATTTGTCCCGATTATGTAAATCAATTGCAAAAAAAAAAAATCTGGAAATCAGCCGGACATCCGGGTGGACATCCGGGTGGTCTACCGGGTGGTCATCCGGGTGGACAACCGGGTGGACAAAAAAGGCGCCTGTGCATCAGAGTTCTCTCTGCAGAGTGTAGAAAATTGATTTGAAAACGAAACCAAACATCATGCTCCAACACACGGGTAGAAAATTGATTACAGAGCACAACCAAACAGAGACTTTTTTTACAATGTGCACTATTTGAAAGGATACACATTGTAAATTTCTCCTATAATGAAATACCCATTGAATTGCCATTCCATTTTAAAATTCCCATTTTAGATGCATTTTTTTTTGTTCTTTTCCAAATTAAATGCCTTTAATTTTTTATTCTTGGTCTAAAATGTGTATTAACAATGAAAAGTCAAAGCAAATTTTTTTTTTCTTCTTTTTTCATGGGGAAGTATTAATAAGTTATCTAGAAAGACTACCACCATCTCAAAAAATTAGAAAGATTATGCGGGAAAAATCAGTCTTAGGACACTACTCATTTCCTCAAAAGTAGTCACTTTTGTCAATCTATTTTGAACAAGTGGATATTATATTATTTTTGTTATGTCTAAATTACTTTATAATATATACACTTTCTTTTATCTTGTATTAAACAATATCCAATTTGAGGCAAAAGGGCATATTTGATTTTTATTTCCAAAATTAATTTACACAAAATCTCACATCAACACCAAAACTATGAATAGCATTAGTAGAGTTCAAGTCAAGTTTTGTTAAAATCATAAGCCATAGCTTGACTTTACTTCAAGGTTAAAGTGGCAAACTTTAACAATGTTTATGGCAAAAGACTATGTAAATATGTTTTTGGGTGTTTCCCTTCTTACCCTTTAATTATGAATTTTCTTAACGAGTAACAAACTTAAAATAATTATTTCTTTTTTTTAAATAAAATTACTTTTTAAAAAAGGTACAATTAAGTTGTGTTTGGAAAAGAGAAATGCTCGTGTTCATATCTTACTTGTACTAAGATTGTATTCGAATCTTGAATTTATGCAAAAGAAAAAAATAAAGGGAAAAATGACAGAAGTTACAGTTTTTATTTCATTCCGTTTTTGTTTCTTTCACAAATTACTTTTGAAATCTAAAATCTAAACACAGATTGATTGAAAAGGTCTCTCCAAATCACAACAAAATTAATTATAATTAATCTTAAAGAGATTATGAATAGTGAAAGATTAATAAATCCATGAGTGGAAGAACCAACTTTACAACACCATGGTATAGGTTAATTTAATTTTCTATAGTTTCTTTTGGCTTTTGTCTAAGAGACATATGATGGTGAGCTTTGCTGTAAAGCAATCCACCAGCTTTTGAACTCATCCTCCTAAGCCTGTAATTTATGAAAATTGAGCTTCCAAACTCCAGACTCCTTTTACACTTTCACATTTTTATAATTAATTTTTTTTTACTTATCACTTATCAGTAATTAGTATTTTTTATTTTATTTTTATACAGATCTGGCTCCACTCCATTTTTTGTGGGAACTAATACAACCTATTCATAAAAATAGGATCCTCTCCTACAACACCATGGTATAGGTTAATTTAATTTTCTATAGTTTCTTTTGGCTTTTGTCTAAGAGACATATGATGGTGAGCTTTGCTGTAAAGCAATCCACCAGCTTTTGAACTCATCCTCCTAAGCCTGTAATTTATGAAAATTGAGCTTCCAAACTCCAGACTCCTTTTACACTTTCACATTTTTATAATTAATTTTTTTTACTTATCACTTATTAGTAATTAGTATTTTTTATTTTATTTTTATACAGATCTGGCTCCACTCCATTTTTTGTGGGAACTAATATGACCTATTCGTAAAAATAGGATCCTCACCATTTTTGAAGTAAATATAGGCTCCGTTTGGGAAGAAAAAGTCAGACTTTTTTGGCTAAAATAGTCACAAAAAACAAAATAGGTTATTTTAGCCACAAAAAACAAAACATCAAATCCAACCCATAATCATTACAATCCTCTCTCACAAAAAAAGTCAAAAAAATAAAAAAGTCAAAAATTCCTTCCCAAACCAGGCTAAAATAGCCCAGGTTAAAATAGTCAAAAAGCTAAAAAGTCAAAAAGCCAACCCACTTCTCAAACGGAGGCATAGTTGATTCATAAAAATAAGATCGATAAATGTGAAAATATGTAGATAGGTTAATCTTAAATTTTATGATTATTGTAATCTTGTGCATTGAATTGAGACTCTATTCAACTGGTTTGAATTTTATTTTATTTTTATTTTTTTTTGGACTTTTTAGGCTAAAAGAAGCCTCAATGTCTTTGGTTGGCCAAATGGTTGTTTTTTTTGGGACTTTGACATATGCTTGGCATATATTCAAAAAAAAGAAATTTTACTCTTTTGTCAAATAATTTTTTTTTAAAAAAAATAAAAAATTAGACAGCTGGTACATGTTACACAATTAAGCACATTGCTCAAAGTTCAAGATTTTTGGTGCATATAGTTCAAACTTAAAAAAAATAAAAATAATTAGACAGCTGGTACATGTTACACAATTAAGCACATTGCTCAAAGTTCAAGATTTTTGGTGCATATAGTTCAAACTTGTAACTAAAGTCAGGGTATGTCACATTATATAATGACTCATGCGATCACTTCTGATAGCAACCTTAGTGCTTAAGGTCAATGAACATGTTTCGTTGGTAGACCCCCTCTCTCTCTCTCTCTCTCTCTCTCTGAGAATTTTCTAGCATTTTGTTTACCTTAGATAAATTATGTAAATAGTTCATATAATTTATACGGTATGTTAATTTAGTTTATATTATTTTAATTTATTTGATTTTGTCCCTTAATTTAACAGATTATGTCATTTTAGTCAAATAAATAATGATTGTTAAGTTTGATGAACGGAAACTCTACATAATATGTCAATTTGATCCTTGTAGTTTATACAATGTGTCAATTTAGTTCCTATTGTTTTAATTTGCTCAATTTTGATAAGGACTAAATTGACACATTGTGTAAACTACAGTGACCAAATTGACACATAGTTTGACTTTCTGTCATCCAAACTTAACAACTGTTATTTATTAGACTAAAACAACACAATCTATTAAATTAAGAGTCAAAATCGAACAAATTAAAATAATAAGAATTAAATTGACACAT